TACATACATAACACCCAAGCCTTTTATACCATAAGAATTGAACAATATGCATGTAAATCATTCATAAATTTAAGGCATATATGATATATGCAATCATATTCATCATTTTAAATATCACATAAGATTTAATCATCCATATCATTTTCTTTTGCTCAAAATTAAAATTATAGTGAAAATCAGCATAAAACATTTTATGTAGAGGCAGGTGGTATTCATGTCAAACTTGAACTTTAGGGGTTGGATATGTAAATAACTAACAATTGAGTGGGGCATGTATAATATAACAAAATAAATTTATTATTAGAGAATTAGTAGGGAAGAGACATGAAAATGGTACATGTAAAATTCATGATTTAACACCTTATGCAACACTAAAGAGGAATGAATGAAAAATAAAAACTCATAAAGCCAATCTCAAATAAATGGGCTAAACCTAACCTAATATGACATTTTAAATACATATCACACAATTCTTATATTTATACATGTAACACCTAAACTTTTATATTTACATTTATACATTTTAATATCATAAGTCTCTTCGGTAAATCCGATAAAATTGGAACGATATAGAAAAGATTAGTATGGCCCCTGAGTAAGGATGACACACATAAATCGAGAAATAGTATCATAAACTTATGCATAATGATACTTCAACTTCCAATATTTATACAACGCTATCATGCATATGCTTTGATGAAATGATGGCACTAAAGCATTATATATGTAATTATATAAATGTTGTATTTTTGAATGAAAATTGCTCTTTCTTTTAATAGACGAATATCTCTTGTTCTAACTTTTTAGGCTTTGTCAAGATTGAAGGTGAAGAACTAATTAACCAAAATTGAGTGAGATATAAATGTAGAAGCAATGTTTAATATGTAAATAAGTAGGAATTCGTTGGTATGTATGTAAATGCCCCTTTAAAATGCAGGGCATTTACATGCATACCACATAATCGGTATGTATTTACATTTTTAACATCGAAACATACTTGCACATACCACTCAAATATCTAACATTAAATCACTATCTTTATAGAAGTGAAGCACACATCCTTCATGCATAAAAGATTTGACAGGAAAGTGCCATACATGTAAATATCAACTTTTGGGTGTTAGATATGTAAATATATAATAACATTTCATCATAATAATAATAACATTTAAACAGTTCATCAAACTGAACCAATCAAATCAGATTTCACTCTATGAAACAGCTAAAACTCAATCATAAAGCTTAGTATGTGTAAAGAGCACTGAAACATAACATAAAATATAAATTAAATGGAGACACTACATAGGAAAAACCAGATTCCTATAAAAATTATTGGAAGATTTACATACATCCCACACAATTCTGATGTATTTACATATCTAACACCTAAATTACAATTTTCACATACATACCACCTTAACCATGCATGAAAACGTATATTTCACTTTTTGGATAGGATATGAAAGATTTGGGTGGTATACCTGTAAAAAGAAAAGCTTGCGCTTAGATATGCAAATAAATAGGAATAAGGTGGAATGTATGTAAATGCCCCATCATTATTTACTTGATGACTGGGTATAAATAGAGCTTGAATGTCAAGTCAAACTTTCAAAAATAATAAGGGTAATTTTTATGATGGGAGTTTCGGTGGTCTTTGTACGCTATAATTCCATTGTTTTCATTCTTATAAAGTTAAGACCTTTTTCCTTATTTCATGTTGTTTTAAAATTTTCAAACGCACGTATCAAATATTTTTATATATTAATGTTGTGTCAAAATTAGGATAAATCTGGCCAGACGATCAATTTGGACAAAATAAATCCGCCACTTTGATAAATCTAGATTTCATGGATAAAAAATACTTCACGGATTTCATAGAAACCTAAGGACACGCGTAGTTTACCATTTCATGCACATTTACCATGTCCTGCACCATAGGAGACAAATTGTTTAGAAAGGTTCTTTAAGGGCTAGCACTAATCTCATGCTTCTTTCCATTTTCAAAAGATTATGATTAGGAGAAGTCCTCCTAATCGCATTGGCATGTAGTTAGTTGACCTATCATTGACTACCTAGGGGATAGAGGATTTCTTGGTTATGGTTCCAACGCAAAATATCATCTTAGTAAACGATTTCATGAACTTAATTAATATTAACAGAAATGGTTTTTAATATCAGTGTCATTAAACAAATAATTCAAGCTGCGTCACAAATCTGAGTCTTCTTTGGTTGTGTCATCAAGGAGGACTTGTAATTCAGAATAATATATTCCAAATTTAGGATTTCTTGGCAGCTAAAAATCGAAAATTTTGAATGAATTGGTTGGAAGAAATGTCCTTGTCATACATTAATTATAAAAATATTTATTTGCTAGAAATAAAATGATCATGATTAGCTACGACATGTGATTAATACAAATGGTATAATAATAATTGACTGTCTTTTTGGATTGAATTAGCAGATTTTGTTCCCACAAATTATTTTTCTTCAACAGGTGTAATGACATGTTAAAAGAATTAGGAGGTTATCTTCACCTAATCTTTAATGCTTAGCATTAAAGCTATGGGTTGATGGGGCATGCTAAACTAAATTAAGTAATAATTAACACAAAAAACATTTGTTCACTTTGATGGTTAGGTTTTGTTAGTTGATTCCAAATTAGGGTGGGATCTTCTAGGGTAGCTTGTATGTGGGGAGTTAGTTTATGTGGTCAACCTAACTGAATGGCAAAACTTGCTTTTCGTAGTGGTACTACTTTAGATATATTTTAGTTTTAATGTTTTAGCATGTTTGTGGAATTATGAAGTAATAAAAAATGATTGTATCAAACTTTAATTCTAGGAACTACTTTGTAGAGAAATTGCTTTAATCAACAATGGGAAAAAATATAACTCTCTTTCACTCATTGTAAGATTCACTGCTCCCAAACAAATATGTTCTCTTTTTTTACTTGCTCTTTATTGTGGCCAAGGTCCTATATAAAGTCATTTTGTCAATTATGTTGAGAATAAGGGTAAGAAAGAGATATAGCAGACCTATTTAAGGCTCACTTCAAATTTATCGAAACTATCGTTAACAAAATTCTCTTTAGTTGACAACATGTCTTAAATGAGCATATCAATCAACGCCATGTTAACCTTAAATTGACATTATTCTTGAGTGATGAATAATATCTAAATCAATCATTATTGGAGAAATAGTAGCCCTGTATAAATACTAAAAACCATGTCCTCTAATAACCTTCCCCACATCCCTCTTAAATAAATGCCTCAAAAAATCTATAACTTACAAAGGAACTAGCAAATACTTTAAGGACACTGATATTTGTTTAATATCAGTGTCATTAAACAAATAATCCAAGCTGCGTCACAAATCTGATTCTTCTTTGGTTGTGTCATTAAGGAGGACTTGTAATGTGTGATATCTTGAGCAACTTCCATAATTCAGAGTAATATATTCCAAATTTAGGATTTCTTGGCAGCTAAAAATCTAAAATTTTGAATGAATTGGTTAGAAGAGATGTCATTGTCAAACATTCATTATAAAAATATTTATATGCTAGAAATAAAATGAACATGATTAGCTACGACATGTGATTAACACAAATGGTATAATAATCATTGACTGTCTTTTTGGATTGAATTAGCAGATTTTGTTCCCACAAATTATTTTTCTTCAACAGGTGTAATGGCATGTTAAAAGAATTAGGAGGTTATCTTCACCTAATTTGCTATACTGGGATCGTCATCATAGTTTAAAAAAATTAGCTATTAAGTCACCCATCCACCATATCCACTCTATGGCTTTAATCATCACTATAGTCTTAAAAAAAATCATCAATTTCATTGAAACCTCTTGATAATTAATTCTCATGTCAAGTTACCCTTTTATACATCAATTGTATCCCTTCAAGTGGCTAAAAAGGATCTGCCAATTTTGAGGGAATTTTCATTATCCTCTAGCATATCCAAGACAACTAAATTAGAAGGGAAGAAAAACTATTTAAGAGAACAGTCCCATCTAACATCACATGCAATATTGAAAATTATTTGATTTCTACAAACTACAAAGAAATGGTTATAGCATCAAGTGACATCCCAACAAGGCCAAGCATACGATATGTCACAATAAAAGTTGTAAAATTTTATAATGGGAAAAATTTTCTGTGAACTAGAATATTGACACATCATTATATTAGTCATTTCAGCCAAGCACCTATAACATTTTTCACAAATTAGCAAGCATCATCATACGTCAGTAGAGAAAATAAAGTTTCATTGAGATAAGAGAGGTATTGCTTCTTAATAGAAACTGCTACCTAAAAGCTAACACATTCCCCACTCACCCAAATAGATTCTCCAAATTGCAAAAAGAAAATATCATTTATAAGAACTCTGATCGAAAAATTGAAATTTTTTTTATTTCTCCAAGAAATGATTTCTACATCAAAACCAACTTCCAACAAAACCAAGAAAATGATATATCACACTATAATCCATAAATTATTTTACTATGAATTTTTTTCTGCAAATTAGAATATTGCCACATCATGCTACCAATCCTAACAGTTGTCACAACTAGCAATCCTCAACAGAGGTTAGCGCACAAAAGTGTTCGTTACTAAGAAATTTTGAAGATGAAACAAGCTAGGGTTTTTGCAACAAATCTGACACGTTTGACAAAAAAAAGGTTAGCACAATGCCAACTCACCCAAAAAGATTCTCCAAATTGCAAAAAGGAAGATAACTTTTAAAAAAACCTTTTGATATACATCACATGCATTATTATAAATTCTATGATTTATACAAAGAAATGATCAATGTGACAAAACTAAAACAACACCAAGCAAATGATATCCATAAATTCTTATACTAGAAAAATGCAGCACTGGTTAGTCTAGCAATAGTGACAACTAACCAAAGCTGAGAAACTTTAGAATTGAAACCACATAGTACAAGCTCAAGAAAACAGCAAATTAAAGAAGACAGTTTCCGACTGCGATAGTTTGAAGAGTAAGAACGATGGGCGACAGCCAAACGGCTGTGGAAGAAGAGGGTGTCCAAACAACCCATGGGAAAGAAAATGACAAATGATGTCAAAGAATAAATCCTAAGATTTTTATCCATAATTTCAATAGAATGATCGGGTGATCCTGAAAAATTGGATGCCTGGTTACACAATTTAAGGTATCATATGCTTAAATATACGTTTGGATGGAAATCATGACCTGATTCATTTAAAGGCTTATATATGCTCATGTAGAACACAACAGATAAAATCATAAATTAGGACCATCTAAAGGTTTAATTCATTAAATAAAGTATCACACCACATGAAATCTGACAATATATTTCAAAACAATTTGCTTTTGCAGAAAAATGAAGAAAACCATCAGGAATAGAAATAATACACTACAAAATGTAAGACGAGACTTAAAATTTTCAAAAAATAATTACTCATCTACATGCCCTCCGGTCAAACTCACATAAAATTACCACAGCTTTTAATAATTTTCCTGATTATACAACTTTATCAAGAAAAAGTATAAAATTGATAATCTATAAAACCAAAAATAGTTTACCTAGCACGTAGAAGCAGCCTCCTCCTGATAAAACTTTTCATGATTAGCTCAATAAAAATTATGTACCTTTAAAATACTCCATTGTGACAATTTATTGCAGAGCTAACCCGCAAACTCAATCTTGAAATATAATATCGCGCTTATCAAGTTGATTGGAGGGTCTCATTTCATGATACTCTGAAGTTCTGGGACAAGGCCTCATAGTAACGCCTTTGCTGCAGTATACAACAACAAAAGGAAGGAGAACAAATTCAAAACTTGTGTAGTACAGTAATTTCTGAAACCAAACTAAATTTGGAATGAAGTCCTTCAACCTGAAATGCTACAAACAAACATAGATGCTTTCTCTACATTTTAAATAAGGAGCATTTACATACATACCATCCACTTCTTATGAACAGTCACAAAAAGAAGACAGATAATTCAACATGCTTGTTTAGAAAAAATAAGAACTTTAAAAGATACCGGCCAAGGTATGGAATGGTTCCAATACAAATATATCACAAAGAAAGGAGGTTAGAGAGGGCTATAAAAATAGGGAATTGGAGATCCCAAACTATCGTAAAATGTTAGGTCACCTAATTGTAATGCGTCGGAATTTTTAGCTTTTATAAATATTAATTACTGGTGGCTGTCTGCTAGGCCAACTTATATAGATCAAGCTTGAATGAAAATTAGGAAGATAATTGCCAAAAAAAACAGAAGGCATGACAATCAGTAGTGACCAAAATACACTAAAAAAAGTAAAATGTAACTTCAACAAACCTCAAAACACAATTCTCACAAAGACTGACAACTAGAGTAAACAAAAACTCATAATTTTGACGGCTTATTCCTGGCTTTATTCGAGCACACTGCACATCAAAATATTATGTAAATTCGAAGACCGTCCAATACTTTGTCAAATGCAAATTCAAGTATAATAAGGTCCTAGAAAGTGACACTAGCAGAAGAATTTTGAATCTGCCAGAAAAGACAAAAAAAAAAAAAAACTCAACATTCCAAAAAAAGCTCTAAGAAAAATCCAATTTCAGATAAATTTTCTTATTTGGAGAAAAGGAAAGAGTGGTCTCTACTGAGCTTTCCTTGAGGGTTTTGTTTTGGAGGTTAACATTGAAAGAAATAGAGAAGTAGCCAGTGCATAAATTATAAGATTACATGTAACAAGATGAAAACTAGTTTAGCAGGGGCTTTATAATTCTAAAGACAGAGCAAAAGTATGCCTTGAAGCCATTAAGATACCAAAGGAAAGAGAATTCATAAAACCAACACGAAAAAGTTGGGATAAGCCTAACGATGATGATGAGCAACATTGGTAAAACTATATAAAAAGTAAGCACCTCACTAACAAAGACAAATCTATTAGTACTTCATTACAGAGAAAGATAGTCCACGCACAATGGTATAAAAATACCTCAAAAGAAATCTACTCAAATAGATGATAAATAAAAGGAATATTTACTAGCAATACCACTCAATTCCTATATTACATATCTGACACCTAAACTTCAATTTTTTACAAACATGCCACCTTATAAAGATTAAAATAGTGGTAATTTTAATGTGTTACGAAAGATTTGAGTGTTATAAAAATAGAAATGAAAGTTTAGGAGTTACATATGTAAATACATAGGAATTGGGCGGTAAATATGCAAATGCACCTAAAAAAAGGGGAGCTTCAAGTTATGCACTAGTTATGTTTGTGTTTCATACCTCCTCTGAGACTGATGGGACAATCTCCTCAAGAGCCTTTTCAAAGTGTGATGTCTTTATCACCAATGGTGAATCATACGAAATCCCTTGGTCCACATGCATCTGTTTCTCCTCCTTTACAATCATGGCAGCTTCATTTACCTGTTATAAAATGAAAAGAAAATTTTGCAAGCCAGTCAAAATGCCTCTAATCTCACATATGTGCAAATTTTTATTAGGGAAATTTGCATACATACACACAATTCTTATCTATTATATATATTTATTATATATATCACACCTAAACTCCCATATTTACATACATAGCACTTTGGTGATTTATACCTATTATATATATCACACCTAAACTTCCATATTTACATACATAGCACTTTGGTGATTTATACCCATGCATGAAAATGTGTATTTCACTTTTAAAAAGTGTTAATAGTACTGTTTTTGATGTAATATTAAAGATTTGAGTATTATGTTTATAAATATGAAAGTATACGTGTGAGAGATATAAATACATAAGAATTGTGTGTTGTGTATGTAAATGTTCCTTTTCATTATATATTATAGTTCAGCCTTACCAGAGCAGCAAGATCAGCCCCAGTGAGATTCCTACATGCCTCTCTAGAAGCAAGGCCATTGTAATCAAAATCCGGAGAAACAGGCTTTTTACGAGAAAGTGATTTCAAAATCAAACCCCGTTCCTCGGCACTTGGAAGAGGGACGTAAAAGAGTCTTCCAAATCTACCCGGCCGTAGAATGGCAGGGTCGATCACTTCAAAACTGTTCCTGTTCGTAGCTCCAATAACGTAAACACCACGCCGCTGATCAGCACCATCTAATTCTATAAGCAGCTGCATTTCAATGAAAGTTAGCCAAGCTTAGGCATTAAATTTAACGAACATTCAATTCCTATGCATTTACACATCTAACACCTAAACTTCAAATTTTACATATATGCCGCCTTGTGTATGCATGAAAAGGTATATTTCGCTTTTAAAAGTTAAGAAAGTGAATTTTTTTATGTATGAAAGATTTGGGTTGTGGATATGTAAAAAGTAAAATTCAGGTGTTATATATATAAATATATAAGAATTGGGTAGTATGTATGCAAATGCCTCTGAATTTTAACAGAGAGATATATAAAAAAGACAACCTGGTTAAGGGCCCGTTCGACAACCCACGCTCCTTCTCTTCCTCTCTTTGGTGTCAAAGCATCCACCTAAAACAAATAATAACATAAAATCAAGATAAATATTATGCAAAATAGGATGGTTTTTTACTACTAGCATTTAATATTACCTTTATTTGTTACATAAAAATTAGTACATATTTGATTGGTTTGTGCTCCCTATCCATGTTTATATCATAGTAAAAGCATTGATACTTGTATTATACAATTTTGTATATGAGAAATGGACTACAAATTATGGATTGTTTATTTTATTTTAATTAGGAAAAATAACAACAAAGGAGTGTTTCTAATAAAAAAAGGAGCACTATGTAAAATATGTGAATTATATTTTTAAGGTTAAATTTTGGGCTTTTTCGAAGATAAGGAAAAATGATTTTTTTTTCTAATTATTTGTGTTTAATAGCATAATAAAGCATAACATGCAAGGTGACTAAGTCCATGCAACCTAATTAACTGGTACTGAAGTAAAGCAGTTAGTACTCTTCATCATGTCCATTAAAAAATTTCATGGCACTCTCACAAATTCATTTAATATTAAAAGCAGACCTAACACTACTTTGAAAAAAACTAAAGAAATCAAATAATTGAAGTGAGAGTACTCACTTCATCAAAGAAAAGTATGCACGGAGAACAAGTTCTCGCGCGGCTAAATATTGTTCTAACTTCTTGCTCGCTTTCTCCAACATATTTTCTTAGAATCTCAGGGCCCTGCATATTATTGATACAAAGCAAATAATTATTTTCAAATAAAAAAATTTTCTCAATCGAAAGCTTGAGAGAGTTCACTCACCTTGATATGTATAAAGTTGGCACCTGCCTCGTTGGCTACAGCCTTTGCAATCAATGTTTTCCCACACCCGGGAGGTCCATAAAGCAAAAAACCAACCTCCATGTCCACCCCAAGTTCCTAAAGACCACATAAACCAAGCATAGTGGACTTGGAAACAAAAATCTGAAGGAAAATTCACATACATACCACACAATTTTTATGTACTCCCTTATCTAACACTCAAAGTTTGATATTTACATTTATAACATATTGATGTCATAAACCTATGCATGAAAATGTGCACTTCATTTTTAAAAAGATAGTGCTAGTGACATTTTTTATGTGATGTTAAATATAAATTTGAATGTTTAGGTGAATGTAAATACATACACTAATTAATATACATAAACCTAGTGTGATAAAAGCTTGTTGTTGTTGTTGTTGTTGTTGCTGTGTTGAAGTTGATCTTCATAGGCAAAATGTGAGGAAACTATAACACAACCAAAACAAATCATTAATAAATAGAGAACAAAGATGAGACAGAATGAGCTGAAAATGTGGAAGTTGGACATATCTGTAAAGAGTAAAGTGTCAAATAGTCTCCTGACTAATTTACATGGAGTCCTTTTAATCCAAGAGTCTTTAAAAGGAGTCAATTTAGCACCAAACTGTTTTAATATGGACTGAAATAGTCACCATGGAGGACTAGTTCAGCTTCAATTTAAAGTGTGGACACTAATTTGACATTTTATAGACTGCGGGACTAAAATGCCCTAGGCAAACAGCCAAGGGACTTCTAGACATTTTATATGTAAATCAGACTAGCAACTAATTCCTAAACAGCTGCAGTATCAAATGTTTATATTTTAATTGCATTGGTATCAGTGATAATAAATCAGACATTTCTACCTGCCAATCCAACATTAACTTCAACAACACTCAATGGCATCAAGCTCCAAAGTAATGCAGATTACCTCGTAATCCTCGGGATGCTTTATGCGTTGAATAATGTAACGATCAAATGCTTTCCTCAACGAATCAAGACCACCAACATCTTCCCATCTGATAGTAGGAATCAACGAAAATCCCTCTCTTCTAGTAGAGGGTTGGACAAGTTTGGCAGCTTCCTGGAAGAGGACATAAAAGAAAAAAAAGAAATCAACAACAACAACAACAACAGTCTTAATCCCACTACGTGGGGTCGGCTACATGAATCCTTTTTCTCCACTGCGTCCTATTTAGTGTCATATTTTCATTTAGTTCTAAAAAAAAAAGAAATCGCTTAACAAAAATAAAGTTTTTTTAATATATTTCCACACGTAGCATCAAATTTAAGGGACAAAACCATAGCTTGTGCGCCAAATAATAGCGTTTGAGACTTAAATAATATCCATTTGTAATCTCCACAAGCACACGTTCTCAAACATATCATAATAAACAAAGGGTGAATCATAAAATATCAACATTAGGAAGTATTAATATCTTCCATGGTATCAAATGTAAATTTAATATACAAAGATAGTGTCTACTTTTTACTCTTGTGAATAAATTACCTCAAAATCAAGCATAGTGATACAAAGGTTCTCAATTTCTTCAAGAGACCATGGATGCCTCCACCAGTCAACATTTTCCTCATGTCCTCCACAGAGTTCAGACCTTCTTTTATCTACTATTCTCTTCATAGCTAAATTACCGGCTTTACTCACCAATGCTGCCAAGTCCGCTCCAACAAAACCTGGCGTAAACCTTGCTATCACGAAGCGGTCAAATTCACCCTCAATTCTAAGGTTACGAGTCAGCACAGACAATATCTCCGCACGTGAATTTTCGTCAGGAACACCTAAAGCTATCTCTTTGTCGAAGCGCCCAGGCCTTCTTAGAGCTTGATCGACCGCGTCAGGCCTGTTTGTAGCTCCAATCACAAGAACATAACCAGGTCTTATATCTGTTGTTTTATCAGAGGCTTCTGTACCAGAATCACTATCAATTGTTTTCAGAGTTTGGTTTGACTCATCCATGCAAGTCATAAGTTGTGTCACTATTCTCCGCTCCATCTCCCTCTGCAAGTTCTCCCTTTTGGAAGCAATGGCATCTATCTCATCAATGAATACAATTGAAGGTGCAGTTCGATACGCCTTGTTGAAAAGGTCGCGTATGTTTTCTTCAGATGCACCTAAAACAACAATATTGTTCAGTATGATAGAAATCTCAATAGCAGAAAAAAAAAGTTGAAAGCTTGTAATTATGAATAGCTAAGATGCTTCAATCTCTATCTGGAATCATAAAAGTCAGTTGGATGTCATTCAAGCACAAGGAAAACTTGATCATTCTTCTAAATATGGAACAT